GTCAGGACATGGAGGCAGCACCCAGAGCCCCCAGGTGGGACAGCGCAGGGCACGCACAGCGCCTCTGGAACAGGAAGGGGTTGTGAGATCCCAAACAATTTTCACTTTTTTGTACTTTTTTGTATTTTTTTCCCCCCAAACAATACATTCTAGGCATTCTCACCCAACTCAGGGGATGATTTCCCAGTTGGCCCTGTCCCTTAGGTGCTAAGTCCCATCTATTTCAATTGAAACTTGGTTTTGCATGGACCAGGTTTTCAAAGGTGTTCCGGCCCTTAAACCTACAGATTTGTGCCAAGCGGGATTCTTTTCAAAGTGCCTCAACATTTTAAACGTCTCAGGGGAGAACGGTGCCAAATCTCACCCTACAGATCTCACCCCTGGTCTCTGGATGCAGTATCTCAGGGCTGTGATAGCCTCAAATGAATGCGTGCCCCAAAGCTCGGAGCAGCACACACCTCTCCACACCCAAACATCTCCCCTTCCGCCACGCACCCTTGTGTTCCCATACAGTCAGCCAGCCCCAACAGGAGCATCTGATCCACCATGACAAAACCTGCCCTCATTTTGTGCACTTCCACACGCTGTCCCTTCTCCCAGCGACGCCAAATAATTAACATATAAAAGTCTGGTGATAAGTGAAGTTTACGATCCAAACCAGAGGAATGAGGGCTCAGAAGTGAACATTATAAGAGCCCTGTGCCCATAAACATCCCACTTCTGGTGGGCTACCCAGCCAATTAATCACACGCAGAAATGCTGGCCGAGCATTCATTGCCCACATAAGCTCCTTGCTGAAAAACAAACCTCTGGAGCTGTCAGGAGAATAGTAAGGAGGAGACGGCGTGCTGGAGAGAAAAATACACACAGAGCAAGGCTAGGACGTGACCTGTGTTTTACAGGGCTTTTTTGTGTGTCTGCTCTGCTGTAGTAAAAAAGAGAAATCCGTCTTCTCAATGGGGGAAGGAGAAACAGGGAAAATAAATGCTGGCCGAGTTACAGGACTCTTAGAAAATCAGGAACTCATTCTTCAGTTTAATTTCTGAGCTGCTGCAAGCATCAGCTCCTCTCAGGGCAGCAGACTCCAAACCCTGGGGACACAGTGAGGTGCTGGGGAGCACCCAGTTGGTGGTACTGGACTCAGCTCTGGGTTTTGTGGGGTTCCCTTACATAAGGACACCCCAAAAGGAGGAGGAGGGCTGCAATTTAACCAGAGAGCAGCGCTTTACCTTCATCCCCTTGCTGTACCTGAGGACCCTGAAGATGAGGATCCTCTGGAGCACGTGGGTCACCTCCTGCAGGTTGGATATGCAGGGGTGGATATGCAGGCAGAAGGCAATAAGGAGGATGTCCAAGGTGCCATAACCACTCTTCCTGTAGCCGATGGGGTCCACATACAGTTTCATCAAGTGCTCAGTGGTAGAAGCAGAGAGGAAGAACGCATCTGCCAGCTGCAGAGAGGAGCTCCCGGTTTCACATTCGGCGTCACCAACAACCCGCTCTGCTCCCAAGAACCTCTTCAAACCCACCGAGCTCCCTTCTCAGCAGGGTCCTGGCCACATCCCTACGGATCCCCCTCAGCCCCTGCCCCAGGGACGTGCCCTGTGCTCCCACACCAGCAGCTGCTGGAGCTCTCAGAAACCTCTGCAGCTCATGACGGGGTTTCCTGACGTTAGCCAGGCCCGGCTCATATATTATAGGGATATATAATTAAGGCACAGAGGTTTGCATACAGTAGCTGGCTCGTGTGAGACAAGGAAATCAGGGTGTGCGACCAAGTGGGATTTTCAATGTGAAAACTAAGCATTAAAAGGGTGCTTAAAACTGACTGTGCCAAAGCCGCGAGGGGGGAAGGGCTGCCACGGGGAGGACTGAACAATTGCATTTCAAGAACAATCATTATCGAATTAGCGGAGAGGTCTGAAGCTTGCCCCTAAAATGCATTCCCTGGCACAGTCCCATCACAGCAAGGCCCTGGGTTTCTAGAAGCTTTGGATGTGGCACTGCTGGGTGGTCACTGGGACTGGTCCCAGCTGGTGGCACGTGACTGCTGCCATGGATTTGCCACAATCCTGAGGAGGAATGGGGCTGCATCTGTCCCCTCGAGGTGTGCCACTATGACTCAACTGCAGCCGGTAGAAGCAGTCTGTCTCCACAGCCAGAAGGTTGGTGTTGGTGGAGATGATGGGCGACGTGAGCCTTCTGGACTTGGAGTTGTCCAGCAGTGTGTGTAGGGAGGCACAGAGCTTGGGATCCCTTCTGCCAGAAGGAAGGGGAGAGATGGAGGGGCCAAGCAGCAAGGAGAGCTGAGAACAAGGAGCACCAATGGGCCCAGCTGCCCCCAGAGCTGCGGGAAGGGCTGGGGTACGTGGCCATCCATCTTGCCTATGGACGTGCTGGGTGGGTGCAACTGAATCCAGGTTGAAGACTTCTTTAGAAACTTTGCAAAAGGGAAATCCTGGTCCAGGTCTTCCTCCAGCCAGGCTGGCCCAGGACCAGCAGCTCCCACCAAAACAACAGCTGGAGGCACAACCTGATCATCACACACACACACTAACTCAGCCTATAAGGAGCTTGCTCCATGCGTACCTGAGCTGGAAGATGTGAGTGTATCTTTTAGCTACACCACATAGAGAACAGGAGAACTTCATAAGAAGATTGGAGGTGGGTTGTCCTCCCTGGGAAAAGCCTGGGTGCTCCCTGCCACCCCGTGGCACAGCAAGTGCTGGGATCTGCTGATTGATGCCACTGCTTCGTGAGGTCAACCTCCAGCTGAGGAAACCCCAGTGCTCCAGGATAAACAAAAACTCTGCGTTACAACAACAGATGCTGATGATTCTTAATTAATTGAGTTTGCATTGCTGAGCAGTTTAGGCAAACTATGCCTGTTTTGGCTTAAGATTTATGGAAATTATTGGCAAAACTGCTTTTAATGCAGCCCTGCAGTGGGGAACAGACCCCAGAGGCACCGACAGTCCTCCCACAGGTTCTGCCTCCGCTGGCCACTGGCGTATAAGTGCTTGTGCACTTCTCCTGTGCCACCACATCTGCCTGAGCCAAAAGCAGGGCTGATACCAGCTCAACAAGCAGCTCCATCGCAGCACGGAGCTTCCCCTTGCACTGCTGCAGCGCCATGTCCTGCAGCACAGCCTGGCTCTCGCAGAGCACCGCTGGCAGCTGCGTCTGGACTGCCTCCAAAGTCCGTCTGCAAGCGACTTGTCAGCTCCTGACCAAAGGGTCCAACTCTGCAACAGATCTTCGGCACGAGCAGCGCTTACATAAACACAGCCTTTGATGTCAGCGGGAGAACTCGCATCCATGTTTGCTTTCTGCTTTTTTTTTTTTCTTGGGGGAAAAGAGAAAGGGAATGAACAATTGCTAATTTATTTCAATTTGTCGGCATCGCTGTGCCTGCTAGCCTGGCCGCTCCGCGAGCGCTTCTTCCAGGACACACATATGTTTGGCTCATCCTGAGCTGCAGCTTTGCTTAAGCCACAAATATTTGTTGCTTGGCACAAACAATTGTGAAAAACTGAACCGAGCTCACGCTGAGGATCTCATTAGCTTCAGTTAATTGGCAATTGGCTCATTAATCTGAGGCTGAAAAAGCCAGAGGATGCATGCATACCTACCAGCTCAGAGCTTTCAAAATTGACATTGTAGGCTCAGGGAGCCGAAAGGAGCAAGGAGGAGACCTCGTGCTGGGGTGAGAGGCCATCTCTGCTGCACCGGGCGTGCATCCTGCAGTTTGCTGGAGCTGGGCTCCCAGTCTGGGGAAAGGAAGGGATAACAAGCTGCTCCTGTTCCTGAGCATTCCTTGGAGCTTTTGGGACCGGAGCAGCAAACCCCAGCTAGGAGAGCACTGCAGGCATCCCTCGTGCTCTGCTCTCCCAGCCCCGTGTGTTCGGTTTTTAATTTCCTGTGGCTGCAGATCAGCGTTGCAGGGGCTGCACTTCCCAGCGGCTGCGGGGTGGGTCAGTGAGGTGGCTCAGCTGAGATGCACACAAGTAGCTCTCAAGGAGAAGGCCATTTCACGATGGATTATCAAAATACTTCAAGCCACAATCAACTTTAAAGCAGAAAAAAAACAAACATTCCAGGGGAATATTCAACCTGGTGGCTTCTAGCCATGCTCTGAGCCTCACAGGAAGCAGAAAAATGCAATTAGTTTGCAAGAGCGGAGGATGTGCTGCTGCCATCGGACCTGCCCAAAGAGGAACTGAGCAGCAGGGAAAGTTGAGCAATTGCTGGAGCCCACCTGCTGCAAGGCAACAGAGCAGAGCAGCTCCTGAGATGCCATCACCTGGAGAAGCCCTAACACTCACAGTCTGGCTACTTTTGTTCAGAGCAGAGCTAACTGATGCTCTTTGCAACGCAGCCTCAGGTTGTTTCCTGGCTGGGATCCCATATCTGTCATTAAATCCATGCTGTATAAATTAGCAATTACCCATGAAGTTCCAGCTTGGTCAGGGAGACCAAGGTGCCCTGATTGGTGCCCCAGCATCCTGCACTGACCACCTCCACACGGGTGGAGGAGAGCTGAGGGGATGCAGGAGAAGGGAATGGGGCTGGGTGGCTCCACCTGGCTCTCAGCATGGATTTAGGGAGCCACAGGATGGGGGTGAGAGATACTGCAGGGACGAGGAGCTCGCTGAGGGTTCCCCATGCGACTGGGCTGCAATTCTGAAATGCCCCAGTAATTAACATCTGAACAAGCACTGACCTGGAGACCACACTGCTGTGAGCATTCCAAAACTGTGCTCCTCCTCTTGAGCTGGTTTTGCTTCTTCCCCAGGCTGGGAGCTGCGACGTACGGTGGCTGCACAGCTCTGTGCCATGCAGACAGCGGCGCTCAGGGAGAAATCAGTTGGAGGGGATTTTTTCCTCCGAGTATGTAAATAAATATCAATACTCTAAACCAAAGACCACCCAGTGATTAAATATTATTTATCTTCAAACTAAACAGCTTTGTCACATATGTATAATAACAAAGAAACAAATTACAAAGGAGGAATTTGATTTTATTGGCTTGATGCGAAGCATTGGCACTCTGTATCAATTTCTAACAGCAGAGTTTGCACCGTTCGCTGCAGATATCGTCCAAACATTGGGTGAGACTCGTTTCACTCCTCCACCAGGAACAGGAGACATCACAGCCCGACTTGCAGCCGTACCAGTGAAATCTACCACTTCAGTGGGGAAAGGCACTCTGCAGCAAAGAACATTGGAGCACGCTGCTTGAATCTGGGTCTGTTTTAGGTTTTAATATCAATATCCCAGTACAGTCAGCATCAGTAAAGCCCAACCTCTCACATCTTGCCTCCTGCCACCAATTAGCACATGACAGTGCACTTGCTGAGCATTAACAAAAATACCATTCCTATTTTACCGACAGCAGTGTCTGCATGTCAGCTACTGGCATTTTGCATTCTGAATAGCTGAGAGACCACACACTCTGTGCACACACCCAGAATAGATCCTGGCAGCCACTGCCCCTCAATGTGTGTCTCAGTTCCCAGCCGTGCCCCTGGTGACCCCAGCCACGCTGCAGGCATTTCACAGGGGTCACTTTGCCAGTGCTGCACTCGAGGGGCTCGCAGAGCACACGGGGACTGGCAGCTACGAGGAGGGTGAGCATAGCTCTGGCCGAGCCCAGCTTAGCAAGAATCCTGCTAATGCTGCTTCCCTCACTGCCGGCACCCAGCCAGGCTCCCCTTCCCATCCTGCAGGTATGAGCAGAGCAAACGGCTCCGTCCTGCAGCGTGCTGGGTGCTGCCTGACCCTGCACTGCACCCAGATGTACTGCATTTCATTAACACTGCCAGGAGCTGAGACCTGGTGCTATTTGCTGGAGCAGCACCGGGGATATGGAAGTCAGCACTGAAAAGGGTGAGCACGGGCATTGGGAGGGGTCTCTCAGATAAAAGCTGTAAAGGCAAACAAAGCTATGCCACTCTTTACAGAATACTTTGTCCTTTCAGGGGGGGGGTGAAATCAGAGTTACAATGAATGAGGGACACCATTCAAAATACAAGACAGCACCTTAAAATGCCACATACCTGCACTATACGGAGGCAGCAGCCTTGTCAATGAACTGAGCCAGCTTCACATCTCTCTTGGTCAGTCCACCACAGTCATGGGAAATGAGGGTGATCTGAACCTGCCAGGAAGGAGCAGCAAGGTGTTACAAGGATGGTGCCCCGTGGAGAAACTGTGTCTGCCCACCCATAGTTCCTCTGGGTGTATCTATGGGACAGCACAGATCTGCCAATACTGCAACACAGTGCAGTGAGAAGCACCAGGAAAACAAAATGATGGGGGAACAGCTGTTTCCCCCTCACACAGCACCTTTCTTCCAAGGGTTGCAGAGCACATTCTAACCTCCATAATCGCAAGACCAGCAGCAGCCAGGCAATGTTATAAACAAGTTTTATAAGCTGCTACGCTGAGACACAGGGGCCGAGGATGTTTCACAAATCCAATCCAAATTTAGGTTGCCAGGCTGCTATCCAGGTACCTGCACACTGCACAGACAGAAACGAGAGTTGGTGGGAGCTCAGAGGCTCCAGCACAGCCAACTCACCCAGGCTGCCTACACAAGAGGTTAAAGGCTTCTGCTCTGCTCTCAGATCTCAGCCAGTAAGGCACAGTGCCAGCCCTGAGCCACAAACAGCCGGATGCCCGGTGCCAGCACCCTGCTACCAATCACAGTACCTCTTTAAAGTCCCACATCTCTAGAGAAAGACACATCATCTCCCCATTCCCTCCACTCCCCCACTGCATACAAACCACAGAAAGGACGCAGAAGATGGGCCAGTGGTTTGGTCTGTGTGTGTAATTCAGGCTGGTGGACACGCTACCTTGCTGTAGACGTTGAACCATTCTGGGTGGTGATTCATCTTCTCTGCCTGTAGAGCAACTCGTGTCATAAATCCAAACGCCTAGGGGAGAAAGAACAGAGAGGAAAGCCTTCCTCCATCTGCCAGGACATAGATGGCAGATGTTCTGGCAGCTGATCTGCAACAAGATTCACTCTGAAATCTCAGAACCTGCTGGCGAAGTATTTTTGGTCCTTGAGCCACCAATGTGCTTCCTGACCTCACTGAAATCCTCCCCTTTGGGTCCTGGTGAATGACTGCTCAACATTAATTGCTCCATGATTCAAAGCTGTTGTCCAGGAGCAATGATTTTACCCTTGGCACCCAGAAATGGTTTTAAACCTCCATCCCAGCAGCCCTCACCCCTCTCTACTCCTTTGCCAATGTGTCATTTTCCAGCTAGGGCCCATGCCACAATATTCCCATATTGGACAGACAGGACTTCCAGAAACACATCCTCTTGTGTAACTATTTTGCTATTTATTTTATTTGGGGGGAGAAAGGAGGCAGGTGGCTTTGCCTCTCTGCTTTATGAGAAAATATTTTACTTTAAGTGAGTTAAAATGGGTTTCCCAACCCTCTGCCCCTATATTCTGCACAGCACTTTCCCCCAGGATGCAGGTTTTATCACAGGCTCAAGAAGAAAATAATAGCATGCCTTTGCCAAAATGCTTAAGAGCAAATCACTGCATTATAAAGAAAATGAGAACATCCATGTAAATCAAGAATGCAATTATGCAGCGGGGTCCAAAGGGCCTCAGTGCGTGTGCAGAACGCCTGCAAGTCAATGGGCTCTATTCAAGCTGCGCTCCATCCATCAGGGTTGGGACCTAAATTAACATGCAAAGCCAACGTAACATCCACATTATAGTCTGGTTCATATTAGAATGCAACGATCTCCACAAAGACCTATCTGATTTAGGTAAGTTTGTAGCGCTCATTTATGGAAGAGAATGTATATGGCCTGCATTCCACCGAGCGATGGCCGCTTCAAACAAACATGTGGTCAATGAATAACATATAATGGCTGATAATAGTTTCAGTCTTTTTTCCTCTCACAAATTACAAAAACCTTTAAGGAAGAAAAAAAAAATAGCATCGGTGCCTGGATGAAGTATGACTTTGTTAGTCGCTTTGCCAGCCCAATGAATGCAAACGTTATAATCAGAGAAAATCATTCCAATGAGGCTTGTCATTTGGAAATCACCAAACTGTCAGCAATTAAAAAGCTTTTTTCCTTGACCCAAGAGCATTCCAAAATTCGGGAAATCCAACTTCCCTTGAAGCTCTCGTTTGGTTTCATTTTCCTCGGAGTGAACAATTACTTTTAAAAGATGCCCCATGTTTCAGCAGCGCGCTTTGAAGCACAGAGCGGTACGATGTGCATCAGCAACAAAACATCTGCATTAATAGCTCTGAAACACTGCATTCCCTCGTTCTCAGACTGCCCAAGGAATCGCAGTAGGAATTGGATAAGAGATCTTGAGATCTTAAGGAATCTATTGGCAACCTGCACATTTCCACAGCAGCCTATACAGAGAAAAATTAAGACAGCATCGCAACCGCCAACACTTGTACAACTTCTTTGTACAAAGAACAGCAGAAGGAAAGCCAGATAAAACCTTTGGAAAGCTCCACCAGGTCCACGTGTCCCCCACCAGGGTCTGTGCATCCACCCAGGCAGGTCATGCAGACACGTGGGTTACTGGGACTGGGGTTTCCCAAACCCCACAAGGGATGCCCAAGTACCCACACTTGTGCCCATGCCCCACTGCTCTCCCTCACTGCAAAGCTGAAGCCCCTCACTTTTGTGCACCAGCTCATTTCAGTTATATACAAAATAGAAGCATCTCCCGCTAAGAAAATGAGCTACGGTTCTACTGAGCAATTTCACCAATGCAATCTCCATTACGGTCCTAAATACTTCCTCTGCTAATTAAATGAATTGGAATGCTATTGTTTGGGAATCGCCTCGGTATTTGTAGAGCCGTAACCTCTCTTTGAGAAAATACAATTGGTTCTGCAAGGAAAAGATATTTAGGCTTGATTAGATATGAAAACACTATTACATAAAATCAGTTCGGACATTTCTTCACGTCTTGAAACTTGATCGGTAATTTGGTCTAATTGGTGATCAAGGAAACTATCTTGTGATCAATTAAAGTAATTACCACATTCCGGCAACACAACCAACCTTAATTTGAGCAGGAGTCTGCACTTCTTCAACTTTAATTAAAAATAATGAAAATTATTAAGCAGTCTGCAGTGCAAGATCATTGTCAAGACTGCAGCAGTGGGCAGGATCCATCAGCCCAACACACACTGCTGGCTGAGCTGGGACAGGCACTCCACGCTGATCGCGACCTTCACTGCAGCAACAGCTCTGCAGCCCCTCTGATGTTAAGGGACACATTTTTCTACCTTTCCTTGAGAAACAAAGAGAGCAGTAAGAAGGGATGTCTGCGTTTTCTAGAAGCCACGAAGAAGTGTGAAAGGAGCCTTTGTTGTATTAACTATCATAAAGCACTCTGTTTTTTGGGAATGAGAGGAAGATATTTTCAACACAAACCTTTCAGGACGTTTTGTCTGAAGTAACAGCTGGACACACAGGTTAGTCTAAGTTTGATGCATCACTTGGGACCTGGAAGATCACAGAGACCTGCACTGAGGCAGGAACAGCACCAGGGAAGCGATGAGCGAAGCAACCCCGAGCAGACAGGGAGATCCTTGGGTGTGCCAGTATGTCTCTTCCCTTCATGTCTTTTAAGATCATGAAAGAACTAAAAACTAAGGGTGTTTCGCATGTAATATCACTCCTAAAATGGTTTTTAAGCCATGCCGTAGCATGCCTCCATGAGATAAAAATCAGAGCTACTCTCTGAAGAGCACATTAACCTCATAAAGTCGTAAAAGAAAAAAAGCTTTGAGAAGTGACAAAACACGCTATCAGAAAACGAGACTTAACGTGACTTTTGTTGCCAGAGAATGGGAAAAGCAGGGCTGGGCGCTGCGCTCCCAGCAGTGGGAGGAAAGCTGAAATTCCATCCACCGCTCCGCACCGCGCTTAACAGCTTCGGGAGAATCGTGGGATCCCGGGGCTAATCTGCTATTATTCTTCCTTCCACACTTCTTAAGCAAGGAATCAATTCATCTTCACGCTTTTTAAACACTCTGCTTTTGCACGGCGCTTGCCAGCATTATCTCGATGAGTTACACATCAAAGCGGCGCGGGTCGAGATGTCGCGCTCATACATCACCCAGCAGCGCGTCCCCGGTGATGGATCACCGCAGTGCATCTCCTGAGAGCAGCAGCTGACAGCGCTCCACTCCAAGATGGAGGTGCTCCAGAGAAACAGCCGCAAGGCCCAACAACGTGACCGTGCGACGGGCTTCAGTTATTTGTTTTAAAGTGCAGGAGTTACAAAGGGAGCACCGAAGCTTCCTAAATCCTTCAGATGCTCGGCCAAGGAAACCATATGCTAATCACGAGTACGCTGAGGGTTCTGCCTCCCATCTGTCATTATAATGCTGGGGGTAGCATTAACCTTGGCCCTCTGCAGTGTGAGGGCTACCTGTCTTCTCTTCCACACCCACCCAAGCTGCATCGGCGTCATTTATCAGGCTGCCCAGAGATGTGGATGCCCAAACCCTGGAGGCTTTCAAGGATGGGGCCCTGGGAAGCCTGGTCTAGTATTAAACGGGGAGATTGGTGGCCCTGCATGTGGCAGGGGGTTGGAGATTCATGATCCTTGAGGTCCAACCCGGGCCATTCTGTGATTCTGTAAGAAACCAGCAAACAAAACACATTACAGCAATGCTGTCATACACAGCAAGAGATGTCCACTCTCAGCACGCTTGCTTTCCATCCACCCAAGGAAGAGCTCTCCCTGTGCACAGACACAGCGTGTGTCCTCCTTTGCAGTCTGACACTTCTAACAACAAACTCTGATCACTGCAGTCCATTTCCAAACTGGAGCAGCTTTCACATACCCAGCTCACATCAGCACCTTCCAGTGAGCAACGGGTCAGCAGAGTGAAGGAAAAGCTCTCTGATGTCGAGCTGTACGGAGTTACATGTAGCCAGCCCTGAGGGTTTAACTCAATCTCATGACATCAAAAACCCACGGCTTGTTTCATTTTCATTCTCTTTGTTCCATTAGGAAATACTCCCATCGTATAATTATGCAAAAATCAGCTTACAACAAAGAATGCAACTGATGTTTAAGAAGGTGAAGGCAGCACATGAGGCCTGGCATCCATTCTGAAAGACACGTTTCCATGTTGGGCTCATCGGCACCACTGGACTGCCAGAACCAACTCCAGGAAACCTGGGAAGCAGCCACTGTGCCATGGCCACGTGTCCCATCCCTCCATCCTCCCTGGTAAAGGGGAGCGTGGCTGCGGAGCATAAAACAAAGCAAAACAACCGAAAAAACCTTCATTCAAAACTTCACTATCTACACTTTTCTGCATTTACAACCTCCATCCCAGTACTGAGCTGCACACATCCCTTCCACAGACACGAAACACTGCTCTGCTCTCTAAAAGTCACCTATTGGCATGCACATGGTGGCTGCAAACACTGCCCTCCGAGTTCCACGCTGCCTATGTGAAAACCTTTACACTGTGCTCCACAAAGAACGCTGTTTCTGTCTCTCAACACTTGTTTACAATTATGTCGGTGAAGAAACCAGCTAGCCAGCTCTATATCAAACATTTCTGACAGCGAAAGCACAAACACTGATCTATTCTAAGTAGTTTGCCACTCTGTGTAATCTTGGAAAAGGCATTCCTGCCTTTGATTCTAAAAATGTTTATACTTCATACATTATGCAAATAGTTTTTATATATTAAGAAATAATGCAAGCAAAGCTCAAGTTAAATTAAATTCTTCAACAATAACCTTGCCAAAGCACTGATTTTCCTATAAAAAAATTATTCCAATTTGTTGATCTTACATTGGATGAAACATACTGTAACAATCTTCATAATTTATGTCCTGTTGGGACACTATGATTTAAAGTAACATAATACAGACCAGCATCACTGCTAATCTAAACCAC